TTAGCTCTATGAAAAACTCATATTCTTACTTTTCTCTTTCACTGTGTGTGCTTGTATCAATCTATAGACTGGCATTTTGGAAACAACTCTTCTGAGATACTGTGGCACAAATACTCTAGCACTCATTCATACACTCCCTCCTGCAGACAAAGAACATGCAGAGCAATGTGTGAGAAACATATTATGTACAAAAATCTGGTGGCATTTTCAGAATATTTTTCTTTTGGTTTAAAAAAAAATTCTATCTCAGCTTCTTCTAAAGAGGCAGAAGTATTGAATTTAATCGGAATAGTATCCACTTGAACTAAACTTCATTCACAACTCTTTTTTAGGGCCCAGAGCAGTGGCTAAGCACTGGTTTTGAGGTCAGTTTTATATTTGATCTCTTTGTTCAAATGTATCCTGAGCTGACAGAGGAATGGGTTTTGTAATATTATCCTGTGGATCTTTTTCTATATCTATTATTTGCAATCTAAAATTAGCTTGCTTCTAGCTTTAAATCCCCACACTTTGGCTCTTTCTTCTCAATCAGGCCCCTCAGCCAGTGGAAGCCAAACCCCAGTTATGCACACTTCTGATCTATAAAGTACATTTTCATTGCTGAGCCACTTGCCCCCAATCTTCCTTTTCCACTGTTCTAAACTCCTCTCAGGTGAAAACATTTGAAAAGTTTAGATTGATTTATGTAGTTTACATTTTGGTAAATATTTCTTTGGTCAAACTCTTATTTAAAAAAATATCAACCACAGGACTAAATACCAAGTAAATAAAAGGACAAAACCGAATTAGTTGATTAGAACCAGTAATTCTCACTCACAGACTGTATTTAATAAGTATCTTGATTCCCAGGTTTGGCTGTAGAAGGAATCTTCCCTCACGCCTTTAGAATACTCTCGTATGCATCCATTTCCTTCGATGAGCAGATATTAAGATAAAGACTATCTACAAAAGGGTGACCACTATCCTTTTGATCAAACTTCTCAATTAACTTCTTGATAGTGTTGTGAGGGTAAAATTGTTGCTCGACATGGACTTCTTTAACTTTTAGGAGAAAATCAGTCTCCATTCACCTATTATAAGACTCTGATTATATTATACTAGGAAGATAAAACCTAGACCCTCTATAACATCATCAGTAATGCCCAGTATGTTATTAAAAATTATAAAATATATGAAGCCTTAAGAATATAGGACAGTCAAAAGAAAAAGCAATTTGTAGAAACAAACCCCAAGATGATCCAGATGGTAGAATTAACAGATACAACTATTATGTGCAAAACCACATGATATGTGCAAAAAAAATAATGAAAACATTAAAAGAAGAAGATAAAAAATATGAAGAGATACAACAAAAACTAAAAGAGCCAAGTTGAATTCCAAGAGCTGAAAAAGAAAATTATGTAAAGTAAAATATTCACTGCATGGGTTTAAAAGACTGCAAAAGTGGATCTGTGAATTTGAAGACCGTCAATAAGAAGTATCCAATCTTAGAAAAAAAGGGTAATTACAAGGAAATTAAATGAATATTCAGTAACCTTTAGGAAAATACCAACTTGTCCAACATGTTGTGTAACTGAAACTCCGTAAGTTGAGAGAAAAGTTTGGAAAGAAAACAATGTTTGATGGCAAATATTCACAAATTTAGCGTAAAATATTAACTTATACAACCAAAAAAATGGGGTAAACATCTAACAGAATAAATATAAGGAACAGAATATTAAGGCCCATTGGAGTCAGACACTAAAAACAAAAAGTCTTAAGAGGGCCCAGAGGGAAAATGACACACATAGGATCACAGTAGTAAGAATGACTATCTTCTCTTCGGAAACAATGGAGGCCAGAGAAAAATGGAACAGCATTTTTAAAGTCCTGCAAGAAGAGAACTGTCAATTTAGAACTCTCCATCTTGTGAAAATATTCTTCAAAAAAAGTCAGTGATGGATATAATGGATAAGACAGGCAAAAAACAGAATCTATCACCACTTAACCTGTATTGAAGGCAAAAGGAAGTTTTTCAAGTTAAAAGGAAATAACAACAGATGGAAACTCAAATCTATAGGAAGAAATGAAGAGAGCCAAAATGATAAATGTGTACCTAAATTTTAGAAACCCTCTTTTTATTATCTTAATTTCTTTGAAAAGATAACTGATTGGTTTATGTCAATGTGTAATATTGATTTGTTATATAACATAGTATATATAAAACATATAACTAAATAGATAAGTATAGATAGAATTATACTATTAAAAATGTTTTACATTTTACATACACTGATAAATATTAACTCTAATCCTTGACAAGTTAACCAGGCATTGGTAATCTCTAAAGAAAGTGATAAATAATAATACAAATAGATATAGTTAAAAGAAATAGAATAATCAAAATAGAATGTTAAAAGATAATAAACAAAAGGAGAAAAGGATAAAAAGGAAAACAAAAGCACAGATGACTCAAACACATAGAAATAGTATACTTAAATCCAAATATATCCATAATTATATTAAACATAAATAGATAAAAAGCCTCCAATTGAAAGACAAATTGCCAGATCAGATCACAAAAACAGACAAATTATAACTGTGATGCCTATAAGAGATATACTTTCTATATTAAAAAAGAAACAAAACAGTAAGGTTGAAAGTAAAAGGATGGAAAAAATATACCTGGCAATCACAGAATGCTAGAAAAATAAGGAATACAAAATATTTGAATTATACTATAAATGACCTTGATCTAATTCACATTTGTAGGACATTGAAACTATACCTGCAAAATACATACATTTTTTTAGGTTCTTACTGGATGTTCACCAAGACAGACTATATCTTGGGCCACAAAATAAGTATTAGTAAATGTTAAAAGACTGAAATCTTATGGAGTATGTTCTCTGACAATTAAATTAAAAATCAATAACAAAAAAATTTATTTTAAAAACGAAGGGGATTAAGAGTACACTCACCTTAATGAGCACTGAGAATTGCATAGAATTGTTGAATCATATCATACACTTGACAGAAGCATGATACCATATATAAATTATACTTCAATTTAAAAAACAAGTACTTGGAAATTGAGCAGCACACATGTAAATAAACACTGAATCAAAAATATGTCAAAGTGAATAATGATGAAAATACATGTCATTTTGGGGGGATGCAGCTAAAACAGTATTTTTTTTAAATGTAGGGATGCCTGGGTGGCTCAGTCAGTTAAGCCTCTGCCTTTGGCTGAGGTCATGATCCCAGGGCCTGGGATCAAGTCCTACGTCGGGCTCCCTGCTCAGTGGGGAGCCTACTTATCTCTCTCCCTCCCTCTCCCTCTATGTGTGATCTCTCTCTCTAGCTCTCACTCTCTCTCAAATAAATAAATAAAATCTTTTTTAAAAGTATAATTTTCATTTCTAAATTTTAAAAGTGGGAAGTTCTAAAATTGTTGTACTTCAACATATTGAAAGAAAAAAGCAGAAAATCATATATGCATCTTAATAGGTACAGAAAAAGTATTCAAGACACATCATTTAAAAATAAACTCTCAGGTAATTAGGAATTTAGGAAATTTTTTCAGGGTTAATTAAAAAGAAAAAAAAAAAAAAAACCCTATAGCCAACATCACATTGAAAGCTGAGATATTGAACACTTTTGCCCTGAAATTGAGAAGACAAAGATTTCTTCTCACTATTTCTATTCATCATTTTAGTTAAAGTTTTAACAAAAGCAGTAAAGCAAGAAAGACAAAGTCCTATCAATTCAAAGGACAAAAAAGCTGCCTTTATTCACAGATACCAATATCCTGTACACAGAAAATCTAAAGGAGTCTACAAAATAACTAGGTCAAATAAATGAACATAGCAAAGTAGCATGATAGAACAGCAATATAAAAAATCACTTGTATTTCTATATGCAAAATTGAAAAATAAAGTTTTTAAATAATCCCACCTATATTAACATTAAAAAACATAATATATGTAGGAATAAATTTAACAAACACATCTAAGTCCTCTACACTAAAAACTATAAGACCTTTTTGAGAAAAATCTAAGACCTAAATAAATGAAGAAATAAATCATGTTTTGAATTTAAAGAACCAGTACAGTTAAGACAATTCTTCCCAACTTGTTCTATAGATTCAATACCACACTTATCACAATACCAACAAATGTTTCCATAAGTTGACAATTAGAATTATATACAAACACATAATATAGCAAAATAGTTATGAAAAGAACAAAGTTGATTCAGTTTGCATTCAAGAGTTACTGAAAAGCTGTAGTAATTAAGGTACAGTATTAGGTTCATAAATATAGGCAAATAGATCAATGAAGTAGAATGCAATCCAGAAATAGATCCACATATATATGCGCTTGAATTTTTTACAAAAATGTCAAGGCTATTCAATGTGATACTCAAATGGCCAATGAGTAGATACATTATTTGCCTGTATTTACTGGCAAAACAAATTCTAGTGACAGAAATCAAAAGAGTTGTTGCTTGTGAGAGGTAATGACTGGAAACTTTTTTTAAAAAAATATTTATTTATTTCACAGAGAGAGAAGAGAGACACAGCGAGAGAGGGAACACAAACAGGGGCAGTGGGAGAGAGAAGCAGGCTTCCCGCAGAGCGGAGAGTCTGATGCAGGGCTCCATCCCAAGTCCCTGGGATCATGACCTGAGCCTAGGGCAGACACTTAAGGACTGAGCAACCCAGGTGCCCAACTGAAAACTTTCTATAGTGAGGGAATGGCTTAATATCTCAGGGTAGTATTTATTTATCAAAACTCATTGAACTCTCTATATATACTTAAGATCTGGATGCATTTCACTGGTATTCTATTTTCATTACAAAAATGCAAGAAAGAAAAATATCCTCCAACTTTTGTGGAAAACAATGCTTTCCCCCAAAGAGATAATTTCTTTCACTTACTCTACAGAAATTTTCACCAAAACATAAAAGTAGAAACAATAAAACAATGTATCCATATATCCATGTATCCATTTCTCACTTTCAATCTTTGTGAACTTTATACCAATCTCAAGAAATCTTTCTTAGCTTTGTTAATGAAACAGACATGCTGACACCTGGAACAAAATTGTTAACTGAATTACAGATTGAGTTTGGAAGAGACAGGCAAAAAGAGCTTTGTAAAATTTTGTTATGTTCACCTCCATAATTATTACCTCCTTTTACCTTATATTCAAGTTATAAATTTATACCTCAATCACCAAAAAGAATAATTAAATTCTTGAAGGAATAATTCCTCTCTGTTCCATTTTTTTCCCCATCCCAGCTAATGACTTATTTAGGAAGGTGAAAGAAGGTCCATGTATAGAAAGCTTGCATTTTTCAAGTGTATCATTCAGTAGTTTTCAGTATGTTTACAAGTTTGTGCTATCATTACCACTAATTCTACAACATTTCTATCATTCCCAAAATAAAATCCCAGTATTCAAAAATAGTCACTCCCTATTCCCCCTGCCCAGTCCCTTACTCTCACTAATCTACTTTCTCTCTCTATGGATTTACCTATTCTTGACGTTTCATATGAGTGGAATCATATGGTCTTTTGTGTTTGACCTCTTTCATTTAGCATAATGCTTTCAAGGATCATTCATGTTATAGTATGTATCAGTACTTCCTTCCACTTTATGACTAAATAACATTGCATCTTATGAATACCCAACATTTTATTTATGTGAGTCTGGCACATAGGAATTGCCCAATAAATGATGAGGGAACAGAAGGCTGGCTGAGGACAAAGCAAAAGCTGACACACAGCAACCTTCTCCCACCCCCACTCCTGGGTGGGACTTATATGACATTCTTTTGGAATCTCCTATCTATCTTAATGTTAACATCTTGCTAGAGGGAAAAATCTTGACAATGACACGGCCTCAAGGCCTCTTGTAGGTCTTCTTTAGCATATGAATGTTCTTTTGAAACCTAGCTTTTTCCTTACCTCCCCAACCCCATCATATATAACCTGCCACCCCTCACAACCCCAGTGCAGCAGCTCTTTCTGTCCAGGGGTCCTGTCCCCGTGCTTTCATAACCCACCATTTTGTACCAAAGATGTCTCAATAATTCTTTCTTGGTCATTGGCTCCAGACTCCACCCCACCAAACCTCACCTATATTCTAAAACTTCATCAATAAACACTAATTTTTATCTTCATTTTTTAACCAAAAGAGAGAATGTAAAGCTTTTTCAAAATTGTGACTTGAAAACTGCAGGATTTTACTTTGATATTTAAAGCAGGTGCTTCAAAGTCAATTTCAGGAGGTTTTATATTACTGAATTGCTAAATTGTTTCAAAGAGATTTCTCTTGTTAGTTTCTCTCAAAGGATGTCTTGTGGTCTAAACAAATAGATATTTCTTGCTCTCTGGCCTGGTCTCCAATGCCCACCACAGACAGTTCAGCATTTCTACATTACAAATTCCAGATCCCTGGACACTTTAAGAAGCCAAAAAGCGCATCACAATAGAGAGAAAAATGGACTTTTTCCATTGCTTTATTATTTTTTTGCTGATCATGTTACCCAAGGAAATTCTGATGAGGGCTTTTTCCAGCTATTTACATGTTAAAGTACAAAGGAAAAAGAAATTACTTTCTTGAAAGTCTCCAGGACTTTGGTGTTGCAATCTTTCTTAATCCACAGCTCAAATCACAGTCTTGCAATAGTAATTGAGCTATCCAGGGTGAGAAGAGCAGGAGGCTTATTTTAATCATCTGAATCAGGGAGATTTTTGCCATTTTGCTGGACAGATATATTTGAAATGTGAAATTTTCTTGAATTTCAAGACCTTTCCTTTAAAGGGTAAAAGGTTGAAAATCCCTTTAAAAAATCTTTTCCTGATACCTCTATACCTCTGCCTTCACTTCACAAGAGGGAATACGGCATTCATACTGAGATGCCACATTGAGAAGAATCATTGTGCAAGACCCTTTGATTCAGAGTAGTATCTGATTTGATGTCTTCTCAAACTACAATCCATAGTGACAATAAAGTATTTTGATTTAGTTATCTAATATTCAATTTCCAGGAGTTGTATCAAATGGTATGTTTTCCTAGCTACATTTTTTTTTCCAATCAATTTAGAGAAAGCAAAAATAAAAAGGCAAATTCTTTATTGGTCTGAATGATAAGAAAATTTTGGTAGTCTGTTTAAGTGGTGTATAAATTAACATATGTGTATAGGGTCAGGACCTGAAGGAGACTAGAAATGACCTAAACAAAAGCTAGTTGTACATACATAAGAATGTGGACTATTCAACCACAGCAGTGATAGCATATTTCCTTAGGATGCTTGTACTGCCTTTGGCTATCATAACAATAGGATGCTGAGAAATGAACTGCTAAAAAATGCCCAAGCTGTTAGTTTTTGAATAGGCTTCTATAATTCACAAAAACAAGCAAACAACCTCACCTATTTTTACTTATTGATCTGAATTCAATGGAGAAGGTTTTAAGAGATGCAACCATTTCAATAATTCACCTTATAGTACTTAGTTCATATATTCTAGATTATTCTATTTACTTTTTTTCAGATTTTAGAACTAGGGTGAATCATGATTCTGATATCTTGCCTGAAAGCAGGGGATAGGATTACATTATTTTTGGATGCCCTTCCAGCTCTGTGATTCTATGAGTCACTGAAGCTTAATGTAGAGCCCCAAAAGACATGCTTATTGTCTAAGACATTAAATGTGACACCCCAAAAATACACAAAAGGAAAATTTGACATGAAAGAGAAATTTACCAAAGTGTCTTAGTTCTCTGGAAAATCTTGGAACCACAGAACCAAACTAATAAATTTATTATTCATTTACTAGAAATAGCAAATTATGCTTTCTGATAAGAATGAGAAGTAAGGGCACCTGGGTGTCTTGGTTGGTTGGGCAGCTGCCTTCCACTAGGGTCATGGTCCCTTCCACTGGGGTCATGGTCCCGGAGTCCCGGGATCAAGTCCCGCATCGGGCTCCCAGCTCCATGGGGAGTCTGCTTCTCCCTCTGACCTTCTCCTCGCTCATGCTATCTCTCACTGCCTCTCTCTCAAATAAATAAATAAAATATTAAAAATAATAATAAATAAATAAATAAATAAATATAAAATAAAAATAATTAATAAATAAATATTTTAAAATATTAAAAAATATTTTAAAAATTTAAAAAATATTTTTAAAAAAAGGGGGCACCTGGGTGGCTCAGTGGGTTAAAGCCTCTGCCTTTGGCTCAGGTCATGATACCGGGGTCCTGGGATCAAGCCCCGCATCGGGCTCTCTGCTCAGCGGGGAGCCTGCTTCCTCCTCTCTCTCTGCCTGCCTCTCTGCCTCCTTGTGATTTCTGTCTGTCAAATAAATAAATAAATCTAAAAAAAAAAAAAAAAGATCCCAGCTCTGCAGGGAGTCTGCTTCTCCCTCTGGCCTTCTCCCCTTTTATGCTCTCTCTCACTGACTCTCTCTCAAATAAATAAGTAAAATCTTAAAAAAAAAAAAAAAAAGAGAGAGAGAGAAATAAAAGCCTTTTTTTAGAGGCTTTTAAAGAGCAAATAGAATATATATTTATCTCTTAAGAATGTTTTCAAAGATCTCCAATCATCAGCGTTAATCTAATTTGCAGTCTGATTTAAGTATTTTCCACTTCTGGTCTTAAAGAAGAAATACCATTCATCTAAAATACAGTGTTTTGTACTTTTAATCCAAATATCTTGTACAAATCCATAGCCTAACACATATTTTGTTTTTTTTTCTTTTTTCCCCACTAATTTTGGCTCACTTTTTCTCAAATTATGTAGAAATGGAGAATTTGCAGGTTTTTAACTGAAATAAATGTGACCAAAATTCAAGTCTAAAGTTATTTAGTTACATAATCATCATTTTCTAATTCTTCTGTTAAATTCTTATACTATTAACTGACCACAGCTGTTGGTATTGGCTCCCTAATAACTCCTTCTGAACTTGTAATACCCGAGAACTCAAAGGAGGAGTTCACTGAGTGCTGATGACCCAGAGTGGTCACACGGACCTCATCCCTAATCTCAAGAAATTTTCTGGCAGTTTTATGAATTATGCTAAATGCCACAAATTCTCTATATGCTTAATGTATTTTCACTTAAAGATGAAAATAACCTTGTGTCAGCAGGGTGTGGAAGGTTAGGGCATGTCTAAGTATGTATGTGAGGTAGGTAAAAATCTCTGCCTATAATCTCAAGAGAGCAAGAAATTAATTTTTAAAAATTTTCTGTAATTAAATTTCATGTTTAGTTTAAGGCTACTCTTTTCCAGAGAGAGGAAATTTAGTCTTTTTTTTTTTTTTTAAGTTTAATCTTGATCAATTCATGACCCAATTCATTAAAAAACTTCTAAATTATGTGAACTTTAGTCTCTTCATTGGAAACATTAGAGGATATGACTTTCTCAAAGGATTGAGATCAAGACATTCTAACAAGATCATAGATAACCCACAGAGCACTCTCTGGTGCTGACAGGGCATCTTCCATTAACATTGCCGCTATGACTACACAGAGATTTAAATTATCTAGAGTCATTGAAATTGACAGCTTTTCACATTGAATGTAAATAGGTTCTAAATGTAAGAATTTAATGGAAAGTATAAAAGGAAGGTGTTCCTATTATGTTGCTTAATTAGACTGACCAGATTTTTCTTTAGAAAAGTCATTTGAGGGGCGGCTCAGTGGGTTAAGCCTCTGCCTTCGGCTCAGGTCATGATCTCAGAGTCCAGGGATGGAGCCGCACATCAGGCTCTCTGCTCAGCGGGGAGCCTGCTTCCCCTCTCTCTTTGCCTGCCTCTCTGCCTACTCGTGATCTCTCTCTCTGTGCTAAATAAATAAGTAAAATCTTAAAAAAAAAAAAAGAAAGGAAGGAAGAAAGAAGAAAGAAAGAAAGAAAGAAAGAAAGAAAGAAAGAAAGAAAGAAAGAAGGAAAGAAAGAAAGAAAAGGCATTTGACTTTTAAGTTGAGAGAGGGCATGATATATGGAGAGGAAAGAACAAACAGCAGTGTATGACTTTATCTCACATGTATTCAGAAACCTGAAAAGAAGCAGGAGAGACAAGGGAGAAAATCCAAGAAAGAACAGAATTGTAGAAATGAAAGGAAGAAATCAGTTCAAATACCAAAGAGTAGTTCCCTGAGGCAAATAGTCTCTAAAGTCAAATAAGATGAAAATAGACAATACCCATTGGTGACTTTGATGACAGTGGTTTTAATAGTGGGAGGCCAGCACAAGCTTGAAACGGGCCTGGGAAATTTGTAACTGAAGATGAGAGAAGAATGTGACAAGGCTGAGAAAGAGCAACAACAGGAGAGAATCTGTATGAATGGCTAAAATTGCCATATTTAAATTAGGATAGAAACAAACAGAGGAAGGAGACTGTGACAGCAGGTGTGGGTGACAGAACAGTGAGGAAGGGGAGTCCAGAATATCAAGAGAATGACTGAGGGGTCACCTGAGTGGTTCAATCCATTAAGCATCTGCCTCTCGATTTTGGCTCAGGTCATGATCTCAGGATCTTTAGATTATGCCCCACATTGGGCTCTGAGCTAGGTGTGGAGCTTGCTTGAGATTCTCTCCTGCTCCCTCTGCTCCTCCTCCCACCCCCTCTACCCCGTTATCGCACTTGCTCTCTCTCTCTTAAATTAAAAAACAAAAAACAAAAAAAGAACCTGTGTCTCGGTCTGCAGGTACAATTACAGGAACCTGTCCTATAGCTGGAGTGCTGGGTGGTTGGGTCTTAGATTAGGATAATGAATCCTAGGTATTTAGATTTTAAAAGCCAGCCAAAATCAAAAAAAAAAGAAAGATGGTCCAGATAGAGTTGCCAACTTTTTAACCTGTCAAAGAATTCTTATTTTAAACTGGATAAAATATTCTTGGTTGGCAGTTTCTTTTTTTTTAGCACTTTCAATATATTATCCCATTCTCGCCTAGACTGCAAAGTCTCTGCTGAGAAATCTCCTGATACTTTTATAGGGGTTCTCTTATATGAGAGAAATTTTTGTCTCTGGCTGCTTTCAAGATTCTCTTTTTGTCTTCAATTTTAGATAGTTTTACTATAATGTGTCTTG